AGAACATTTGCACGATATTCTAATTTTTCGAGTTTCACCTGTAGATTGATAGGAGAGGAAGCATAGCATTAGGCATTGACACTCTTATTATGCTTTAAATTGGATTATTGCACAGGGCCGAGTATTATACTCATAAATGCTCCCTTCCACTTTTATAATTCTATGATTTATGAATGTAAAAGTGCAAACTGGTTGAATACACTATTCTAGAATCATTTCATCATCAACAGTTAATGCTTTGTTCATATAAACAGATTATCCATTAGTGGAGAAATGTCAGTGTAACCAGACTATGCATGCATATATTCTGCAAATATTTTTCAAACCATGATGGCAAACATGTTTTCTGAGTTCTTTGTGCTATGTTTAATCTGAAACCAGCTTTTTATGCAAGAGAGAAATCCTTATAGTAAAAATTAATTTGCCAGTGACTTCTTTAGACTCTCAACAGTTGAGTATTACATCAATTTAAGCATAACTAGAACTCTCATTGAAGAGAAGTAGTTAAGCACTTTAAATCTGTGATAAGTATCATTAGGTATTATACTACATGATGATGATGGTTAAATGTATTTTGTACTACTTATTATACAAAAGCATCTCAAAACAGTTTACATCTAAAATGCACAATAGAAAAGAATGAATAAAAACAATATAGGAATGATACATAGTAAAAAAGAGAAGGGAAAAGAAAGAAGAGAAAAACATGTTATCCATCCAAGACTCACAAAGACAAGACCTGATAAAAGACAGATTTGTTGGATACTTAGAAGCTGAGATAGTAGGGGATTTATGAACCTCCAGTAGAGATTATTGTGGAGTATAGGCACAACCCTAGAGAATGCCTGCTCACAAGTGACTGCAAGTTGATATTCTTGTGATTCTAAGTGTACACCACGAAACTTTCCCAATTATCTCAGTGGTATATCCTGGTTCCAGATTGCTTAGGGACTTAACTTGTCGTGTCATATAATTTTTATATTTCAGGCGTATTTCTATGGCCACTCCACGTCAAATCTTTAAAGCTTCAAATATGACTCAGCGATGGCAGCATAGAGAAATTTCAAACTTTGAATATCTCATGTTTCTAAACACTATTGCAGGTAATAATGGAAATGCTTTAAAGATAACTTGAACAAATTATTCATTTGGCATAGTATTTTTCTGAAAATTAATTAGAAGAATTTGAGTGTCTCTTACTGGTGCTTCTTAACATTTATAAAAAATCCCTGTATATTATTTAATCACTGATTTTTCAACATTTATCCACCTGCCAGCTCATACAACTCCAGGTGGTTTCCAATAATATAAAAATACAGAAATCATCACTTCAGTCCAAACTCAATGTTAAATATAAATGATAATATGTCAGCCTATCAATAATAAGTCAACAAAAAAAAAAAAACCTTAAAAACATCTGCTACATGCCTGATTAAATAATATTGTCTTTACTGGGTAGAAAATTTCAGCAGGGAGGATGCAGGACATAGGCTTCAAGGCAATATTAACTCTGTGTCTTTATTTTCAGTATAGTACATGCCATATTTATTTCTTGATATACCAAGAAGTCTCTACTAATTGTTGTTATTTTAGTACTATTATCAGTATTGTATTCATTTAGCTTGCAACTTTTCATTAGTTAACAATATTTTTAAAAAGTTGGTGTCACTGAAACATTGGTCAACTTGCTAAGCAACATAGAAAAGGTTACATTCACTACATCACATCTGCAGCCCAGAGTAAACAGTCTCTTGTGGCTTCCACATTAGTGTCTTAGTTTAAATCAGTGGTTCTCAACCTTTTCTTTGTCCCACACCCCTAGGAAATATTCGATTAATGTTTGCACCCCTACAAAAGTAATATCACATTTAATATTAGATGAAAAAGTCTAATTTCTAATGTGAGTGAACAAATTGAACTTAAAAAAATAAGCTTTTAACTCAGCGTATAAAATTGTCACACCCCCTGAAATTCCACTCGCACCCCCTGGGGGTGCAGGTATCCCAAGTTGGGAACCCCTGGTTTAGATTGTCCTTCATAAGAATTCATTCTTTCACTTTTTGAAAGTATTCTGTATATAGAAATTTTAAAAGATAGATGAAAGTGAGAACTCTTGTCTACATTTCATTTTATGAAGTTGGATTCATTCATATAAGGTTTAGTAAAGGTTTTTTAACTTTGTTTCCTCTAAAAAAAGCATCATTGTTCTTTCTCACCAGGGCGTACATACAGTGATTTAAACCAGTATCCAGTATTTCCTTGGGTGATCACCAACTATGAATCAGAAGAGTTGGACCTTACCCTTCCAAGTAATTTCCGAGATTTGTCAAAGGTACTTTTTTTTCCATTAAGTATTGACATCCAGTCCCATGTAGAAAATATCTACATGTACTCAGCTTTCATCATAGTTTGTGAGTATTTGTTTATTTAGTTTTAGAAGGAAGGAAGCATGATGCTAATCTGTATGGACTCTTTAATTTGACTTTGGAAAATAGCCTTTATAATGCCAATATTTAGAATGCGATCAGGTGGATTGGGAAATTACAGAGAGTTAGTTTATGTTCTATGTAAATTAGTTGAACAGGTTATTAAAAATAATATGTAAATAGGTAGGCTAATCTTTTTGAAAGAGAATTAGTGTGGATTCTGCAAAAAAATAAGTCCTGTAAATAAGTCCTTTTTATCTTATTTCATTGAACTGGTTTATGTACAATTTAATAAAATGATTAAGATTTAAACTGATTTTATTAAAATGTTTGTTGTTTCACAATTTTCAATCAGCTTGGCAATATTATGGCCTTAAAGATGGAAATACTAACCAGAAAGTCCTTTAGTATTACGTGAAATCATAGGACAGATAGTTGTTCACCAGGGATTCTGAGCAAACTTTGTAAGCACAGAAAATAAATGAATAATTTTTACAGAGGGTAATGTAAATTATGGAGTCTTCTCTCCAACTGATTTTTATTAGGACTAAGTCATTTTAAACTTCATAGCCGGATTAAAAAGTGAGCAATACATTGGCAGTAATACCAGGTAATGTAGGATATGTAGAATAGACTGTTAAAAAGTCATGTCAAGATAAGACAATAGCAAATGCTGTCCAATGTAAACAAGTATAGAGTAATGTACAATGGGACAAAAAATATTCTGTCTTTACCTATATGCTTATCCAGTCATAGTATGGAGTGAGTTACTTGAAAAGGATCTGAGATTTTAATACACATGTTGATATTCAAAACAAAAAAATTCCATTTAAGAGATCTGTAGAAGAGAGAAGTGAATATAAAATTTCTATGATTATAATGTCTCCTTAACAATTAATAGTATGTGCATATTTTGAATATTGTATATAGTTGTAATTCCAAGACCTTGCAAAAGATATAGTAAGGCTAAAGAAAGGCAACTAAAATCACAAATGAATCACATTAAATCCATAGTGAAGAAGAGTTACAGTAATATTCAGGGATTATTTGTTAAAGAAAAAGCCAGGAAGATGACATGTTAGAGATATATAAAGCTACACCAGGCATGGAAGAGAAGGTAGATGGGCACATAGTTAAAGTACCAATAGAAGAGAATATATGTAGCTCAGGGTTGAACTGTGGAGTCCTTGGTGCTCTCTGAGCTTGGTTGTTTGCTTGCAGACATTTCATTATTCAACTAGGTAACATCATTAGTGTGAGTAAATGTGGGGGTTGCTCCCTGTTTATATACAGTAGCTTGTCCTAAGAGACAATAAAAGAGACAATAAAAAAGCTAAGAAGAAAACAAAAAGACCAGAAGATGTCCTCTCCAGCAGCAACCATCCGGATAAGCAGGCATGAACACCAGACAAACAATCAAGTAGAAAACAATACCCTAATCACGGAACTACCAAGGAAAAAACCATACCTCCACCAAAACTGGCAGGGCAAGCTACTGTATATAAACAGGTAGCAAACATCACCCTTACTCACACTGATGATGCCATCTAGTTGGGTAATGAAACGTCTGCAGGCAAACAACCAAGCTCAGAGAGCTCCAAGACTCCACAGTTAAAGTACAAAATTCACTTCTACAAGATATAATGATGCCAGTGAATATGAATGCTATAAACTAGAAGGAAACAAACAAATGGAGAATTAAGCTTTCAATAACTATTCAGCATGATGGTTACGTTACTTTCAGTATTAGAAGCTATCTGTTGCAGAACAAGAGCAGGAGAAGATTCTTGTGCTAGTGGGTTTCTGATAGACATCAGGTTGGCCAATTTGGAAGATGAATATTCAGCTAGCTAGTCCTTTGGTCTGATTAGCAGCTCCTGTTTTGTTCTGGGTATGCTGCTGTGTTGAAGCCAAGACTTTGTTTCCAATCTAAAGGCTATCCGTATGATACAAGGATTCTGTAGCAATAGAAAAAAGTTGTTCTGATAACTAAGCTTTTGGGCTGAGAAACTAAGTGATCCCTGCTGGTTAATCTGTTTCATTCTCATCCTACAGGTTGAACTGGAATGTTGTGCACATGTTTATTTTGTTGTTTCTGGTTATTTATATTGTGTTTTAGTTTTGGCTTTAATCCTTGTTTGTTGCCTAGAGTCTCTGTATTGTGTGATGGAGGCTTTTATAAATAAACCAATGAAGTTCCTAATCCTGTCTAGTCTAACATAATTTGCATGCTCACTTTATTAGAAGGAAATAAGTAAATATATGCTTTAATTATTCATATTTTCACTTTAATATTTTCCTCTCCATGCAGAATGGTTAGCAATATAGCCATGATCTAAGTATAAGATAAGCTTTATAAGCTGAAGAGTATCTAACCCAGAGGGCAAATGACATTCAGAATGGTGCTCGTATTTTTGTAGCTTGTACTGCAATATCTTAGCAATGCCCACGTTTTGGTATATTACTGCTGTTGTCATCCAGGCAGTACTTGCACATGGAAGTGAGCATTTGCATTTCTTCAATCAGTATCTCAATTTATAATTTCCTTTCCTTGCATTTAGCTGCAGTTAATCAGACAACACAAGTTTATGTTCTGGACTTCTAACTGATGCAGTCTCCTTCTCAGGTTCCATTTCTCATAGTTTGGTTACTCTACAGAAGGATTCTGCACTTCATATTTGTATTGGGACTTGGTTTTTTTTAATAATTTTATTAAAGAATATAATTCCAATAGTAAAAATTAATACAAACTAAAGGAAAGAAAGAAAAGTAGAAAGAAAGTAAAAAATGCAAAGGAAAAGAAAAAAGTAGAAGGAGGGAGGGAGAGAAGGAGGGAGGAAGGGAAGGAAGGAAGGAAGGAAGGAAGGAAGGAAGGAAGGAAGGAAGGAAGGAAGGAAGGAGTGAGTCTACACTAAAAATCTAGTAAAAGTAAGAATCTAGTAAATAAAAAGAAAAGAAATATATATAAAGAAGTGACTTCCAACCTTTATCACAACGTATAACCAATTTTAGTAACTCTTTACGCCCTCCTAGTTTGCAACCAATGATCTCTTCATTCCATGTCCCATCTCTTATCTATAAACAAAT